TAACAATAATAATAATAATAATCGAAAACATCAGGAGGAAAATGGCAGTAGACATAGGAGATGTATTGAGGACCACAGTCTTTCTTTTACGTGTACATGCGGGCTATTGTCATAATTTCAGGGTATCGGTGTTTCAACTTATGTCAATTATATGTAATTGCAGGCCTTTCTGGTTTTAGAATACATGGGCTCCAGATGGGGAGCCTAGACATGGCTGGGTGATTGGGGGGTGGGGGGTATCTGGACAATGCAGATTTCTTGAAAGAGCATCCGCGTGAAGGAATGAATGAAGAACTAATGATCACTGAGATGTCTGTCGCAGATCTGGCACTTGATGAGGATTAAATGAAACAAACCAAACAATTGATCAAAAAGAGAAAGGCAAAAATTGAACAAAAACTGTGACTACTGCGATTTCTCCTATGTACTCTTCGTTTTCATTACGATAATATGAACATTTCAACGAAACGAGTTTACAACGCACAGATTTCAGATTGGCACAACAACAAAACTTCCGTTGGGTTCCAACATTGATATCACATTTCCTCGAAGTTGCCACCTGAGCATTTTACAACAACAGAGTCAACTTTAGTACTGAAGAAAAAAACGGTTTTGGTGCAATGAGATAAAAGCCACTTATTTCGAGGGAACGTGACCTGCGATATCTCACACAGGAAACACATACTGCCTGCAAAACCAAAGCCTTTCCGGGTACTTGAAGTGATAATTTCACCATCATCATCATCATCATCATCATCATCATCATCATCATCATCATCATCATCATCATCATCATCATCAATGCCTTTCACCCCTGGCAGGCTATTGGCTACATACAAGCTCCTTCCATTTATCGCTATCCTGGGCTATCCTTCCTAGCTCGTTCCAAGTGAGCTTCATCTCTCTCATGTCCCTTTCCACACATCTCCTCCATTTCTCGTGGCCTACCCCTGTCTCGTGCTCCCAGTGGGTTCCTTTACAGTGCTAGTGACTTTCTTGTGATGTTTCCGCTGGGCTTTCTGAAGGTATGTCCCATCCAATGCCACTTTCTTAGTCCTATTTCTACTTCTATATCCTTTTGTCCTGCCTTTTCCCATAGCTCTTCGTTTCTTATTCTATCCTGTCACTTAATTCTTAGGATGCTCCTCATACATCTTTTGAAGAAAGTCTGGACTTTATTCAGCACTGCCTTTGTTGTCTTCCAAGTTTCGCAGCGGTAGAGGAGCACAGACTTGACATTGGAATTAAAGAGTCGAATCTTGGTGTGCAGTGAGATGTTGCGTGCTTTCCAGACTTTTGACAATTGCCTGAAGGCTGACCTCGCTTTGGCGGTTCTTGCTTTTACATCTGCCTCAGTTCCACCTTTACCATCGATGACACTTCCAAGGTAGGTAAAGGAGTCCATTTCTTCTAGGGAATTGTCTTCCACTGTCACAGCAGGGCTTGCCACTTTTCCTAGCTTCGCTACGTTCGACTTTCCCGGGTGTATACGTCGGCCAACACTCCTTGATAGGCTGTTGAATTCCTCGGACTTTTCTTGCATCTGAGCATGTGTGTGAGAAAGCAGTGCAAGGTCATCGACGAAGTCCAAGTCGTCCAGCTGCTGCCAAGGGATCCACTGTATTCCATTTCGCTTGCCTCTGGTGGCTTCCTTGGTGAAAAATTGTGAAATAGTAGGAGTTTAACGCCCCTATCAACACTATTAGGTTATTTAAGAGGCGGGACCTCCTAGTTTAACGTCCGTCTCCGATAGGACCGAGCCAAGTGGGAAGTTCGTGTAAAGTGTCTTTCCCAAGGACACGACGTCGGACCGAGCTGCGGCTCGAACCCCCGGTGGCTTTCTTCATGATCCAGTCAATTGCAAGTATGAAGAGAAAGGGTGAGAGCAGGCATCCTTGTCGCACTCCTGTCTGTACCTGGAAAGGTTCAGAGAGTTGTCCTTCGAGGAAAACTTGGCAGTTTGTTCTATCATAGGTGGTCTTCAAAAGCTTGACGATTTTGTCAGGTATTCCATAATGCCGAATGAAAGTGATAATTTAAGTGTGTTTTATTTTTACTGTACATACAGAACAACATAGCTAAAAAGATGATTACTTTTTACGACTTCCAAAACTGAAACCCTTTCCCCCTCCCCCTCCCCCTCCCCCCTCCCTTTTACATACAATATAACGAGAAAAAAACAAACCCCAAGATCTGTAATAAATATAGGTAACACCTTCGCTAGCAAACCTGAGACATATCTCCGTCTGAAGAGTTCAATATATTCTTTGCCAAGGATGCTAAAGGATTGATATAAAAATCCATTCGTCTTTTTCGGATTGCCTAACTATGTACGAATACAGGCAAGGATATTTTCACTAAAACAAAGGCATGGGACACCAATGCATGTAACCATGCCTTCCAGTTATTGCCAGTTGTCAGTTCACCTTCTTTTTTTTTGTAAGCGTTTTACGGCGTTCGCCACTGCATAAGGGCATAATATGAGCGCGCGTTCACCTTCATTACAAGCTCAGATCCCTCCTCATAAACACGTCTCAAGTCATTGGTTGTGCTATGATAACAATAAGAATTTCTGCTTATGTGTTAGCATTAATCTAAACGGTAACTATGAAGTCAACCCTTTCATGGTTCCTGGAGGGGAGGGAGGAGCAGCTATGGCACTGTACCGCCTGCAAAATGATACCTATTCTCCGACCAAGTGGACAAGTGGTATATAGTTGCGCCTTCATGAACACGTATTTTGTATTAATAGGAAGGTGCTGTAAAGTGCTGAGAACTGTAAAGAATGGGAGTGGGCGTTGTAGTAATGATCTGCATTATTATGCCTATTAAGCAAAAGAATGTTTTTTAATGTTACAAATGGATGCAGAAGATTTAATTTTTTGTCTTTGTTTTATGCTTTTATTTCATTTCTAGATATGCACACTGTGGGACACGTCGAGCGCTTGAAAACCTGCAATAGACGGATAGGCGTCGGAATTCGTTTCTATATTCTGGTTTGTTTATTTTTTTGTCTGTAAACATGTCTCTAATTGTATCGACAGACAATTGTATTCACACACGATTCATGGGGCTGTTTTGGTTTTTGTTGTTGCTTTTTAAAGATCTCTAATTCACTGTGAGCTGGGCTGAGTACTTGAAGGCCTACAGTACTTTAACAGACGTCTGAGTTCGCTTCTGTACTGGACCATAAAAGTCCAGTATAAAAAGGTGTTAATGGATGAGTTGAAGACCTCCAGAACATAGGCGCAGACGGTGACAAAATCTAACAACATTCCGTACCGTCCGTACAGACCATAACCAGGGACAATGAGCAGACAAGAGAAGCTGATGGTGTTGGGGAAGTAGCAGACGATGTAGACGGCAGAAATCACAGACACCGTCTTCACAATTCTCATGTCGCGCTTGGTGGAGACTTCCGAGGCAGCCGTCTGGCTAGAGGACTGACGCCATTTTGACTGCCTCTTCAGCCTGTTGGCGAGAATCGCCGTGAAAGCCACGACCCCCACGAATGTCACGTACTGACTCATTACGTTATTCGTCATCACCACCGGTAGCTCGATATCGATTCCGATTTCTCTGTACAAGACTCCGAGCAAAGTTTTATTCTTTTCTTCAGAAAATTTCCAACCGATTTCGTAGGTGAGAATACTCAGGTACTGGATACCGATCCCCCAGATGAAAATACCGACGACGATGGCTTTGATTCTCCGAGGTGTTATCATCGTCTTGATCTTCATTGGGAACAGGATGCACAGACATCGCTCGGCGGAGATCAGGAACGTCAGGTATCCCGTGATCCTGGCGAAGACGAGGTGGACCCAGCTGCCAGTAGCTATGCCAATTTCTCGCGGGATAAAGGACAAGTTCTCGGCTTGCTGCAGCCACGGAGAGAAGCAGATGCAGAACCAGATTAGACCCAACAGCCCAACCAGATCGGAAACGGCCAGAGCGAAGAGACTGATGTTAATTGTTTGCTTCCAGTCCATTCTCGCGATGACGATGATGTTGAGGACGTTCGTTACACACCCGATGAAGGAGCTGGGAAGCGCCACGCCTAAAATAAGTATATATTGTAGCAGCTGCAGCAAGTCCTCCGGTAACTCAGAACTAGAAGGAGGGGTCACAGAGCCGTTCGATCTGACAACTGGCGTGGTATTCATTGTTTCAAATTATCCTCTACTCTACCCCGTTAGTAAAAGATTTTAATCACTATCTTAAAATAATTAGAACTGGTGACTTTTGTCTTTTGAATTTCTCGCGCTAGAGAAACTCTGTTTATCACACGTTTGAGATGTAGAAGACTGAAGTAGATATTCAGGGTTAACGTCTCTTTCTGCGAGGTTGAGACGTAGATAAAGACACCGATGAGCATCTCCCAGTCAGTCTTTCTACCACGGAGCTTAGGTTTTTATACAGACACCCAACAGGCTGGCGGTGATCATCTGTGACGTCACCGGTCCAGCCCCAGGCATACGAGGCGAGAGTTTTTCCCCCTGAGGGAGGTGGCTGGCTTCTAATGTTACAGTGAAACTGGGCAATAAATTATATCCTTTGAGTAGAAAAGAAATTGCTGTAAAAATATAAATTACTATTTTTGAAACGGTATGGCGTTACTGTAAAACTATAAATGTTAATATTGAAAAGGAAAGAAGTTACTGTAAAGCTATATTTGCCATTCTAGAGAAGCAAAGAGAATTGCAGATAAATTGTGTTACTGAGAAAGAAAGAAGTTAAAATAAAACTATAAATTCAATTCTCGAGAAAAAGAACGCTGCCTGTTCTGGCAATCCGCCACAAGTGAAAACAAAAAATGAGAAAATCAAGACTTTTTTGAAAGACATTCTGGGCCCATGTACACTGCTTTCTCTTAACCATGAACATATTTACACGTAACTCAGCACACACACCCCGTCCCCTTTTGTGAATAACGACACGCTTGTAGACAAAAATCTATACAAAATAACCACGAATACCGTGGCATTGTTTCCAAAAACTCTTGCGTGACACCTTTCTTTGCCTTGGTAGTAATAGCACAAAAAAGAACAGGCATTTAATTCTCAAAAATACGCATTATTATTAATAATCCATTCAAAAAGGTCGCCTGATCAATTGTCTATTTCTTACAAGTCCCCTACTCATTTAAAAGAATGGGTAAATCAGCCTGCTCATTGGCTTTATTCTTAGAATAATGTACAGATTTGGCCTTATTGAAAGAAATAATATGGCGTAATAAATTTCCAGGTACATTCCCGCAAGTGAAACGATTTATTTTTTTATTTCTTATATTGCAGAAAGTAAGAGTACTGTCATCTATCTCGGCTATCTGATAATTGGGAGGAAGAAGACCGTCAAGACTGCTGCTAAAGGTTATCACAACACGTGGAAGTATATAATTCCGTCTTTAGCAAAACGTAAAATAGCACTACTACGTTTGAACTGTTCAGTAAAGGAGGTACCCGTATGATTTCGATTTTAATAGCAAATAGTTTAAAATTTCATAATGATTTTATGGAAGCGGTACAAATATTTCGTATGTATAATAATTATTTTTCAAAATCCAATAAAATTGCGTATTGACATGATAAAGTACATTTCCAGTTTTCCTGGTTTCACAACGATTCTGTGACCATATTATAACTGTAAGTTTAACATTAATCCTTAGGAAGAAACAGACATTTTTCGTTGATTTTTTTTCTAATATAGGACAAAACTGCGCCCCTCGTGCGCTCATATCTGAGAGTCACTGTTTGAAGAGGGATTTAGTTCTCTTGCAGATAATGCATGTAATTGGAATATGTCGTGTTTAATGCATTTGCTCAGAAAGTGACTAATGGGTTATTTTCTTTACTCTGTCAAAACCCGAAAGTACTTTTACAACTTGATTCAACAGAGAGCGAGAGAGCGAAACACACACACACACACACACACACACACACACACACACACACACACACACACACACACACACACACAGAGAGAGAGAGAGAGAGAGAGAGAGAGAGAGAGAGAGAGAGAGAGAGAGAGAGAGAGGGGGATTGATATATTGATAGAGACTGACATATAAAGACACAGAAAAAAAGATGCAGAGAAAGAGTGAGAGAGAGAGAGAGAGAGAAGGAGAGAGAGAGAGAGAGAGAGAGAGAAACAGGGATAGATAGATAGATAGATAGATAGATAGATAGATAGATAGATAGATAGATAGATAGATAGATAGATAAATAGAGAGACAGGGAGAGAGAGGCAGAGAGACAGAGAGACAAAGAGACAGAGAGACAAAGAGACAGAGAGACAGAGAGACAGAGAGACAGAGAGGCAGAGAGACAGAGAGACAGAGAGACAGAGAGACAAAGAGACAGAGAGACAGAGATCTGTTTATGCTCTTTGTTTGTATGTGTTTTGAACATTTCTACAGATATAGGCCAGATCATGAAAGATATTGCCCATTTTATGTACTTAATTAAACACCCTGTTGTTTGGAGGTGAGACTATTTAGTAATGTCATACATTAGGCATGCTGCAAACAGAGTGATATAAAAAAACAACAACCACTAAACCCCTATTGACGGGTATTTGTTCTGGAAAGCTGAAGGGTGTGTTTTTTGTTCTTTCTCCTCATGCTATTTCAGTAAATTGTTGGGCCGGTCGTTACTCTCTTCGCGGTGCTTATAATCTTTTACTTTTCATGAAGACATATGCCTAGCTGTAACAACGAACACATTATTATGTGTCACCACAGGTGCTGCTTCAACCCTGTCTGTCAGAGTCAACCTCAAGCCAGGCTGAATGGGACACAGTATCCAAGGGGTGAGACAAAGTTGCATATATATATATAGATCTACTACATAAACAATGCTAAACGTTCTTTTAGACTGGGACGTTGGTTTTCAGCCCCACCTCCCACCACTTTCATGGACCCACTCTCTTCCTTCCTTATAAACATACAACTAATTTTGTGCATAATATTATTATCACTATACGGCGACCTTAAAATTGCCTTCACAGAGAGTGGGAAAAGTTCATTTGGACTGGGACATAAAAGTTGATTTGCACCCCCCCCCCTTTCCCCTACTATCATGGATCCACCCTCTTCTCACTTCCCTCCTTATAAATATACAACTATTTTGCGCATACTATTATTATAACTATACGGCGACCTTTAAATTGCCTCCACAGAGGGTGGCAAGAGTTCATTTGGACTGGAACAAAACAGTTGATTTGCACCACACCCCCCTCCCTCCTTGTGAACATAGTTCTACTATTTTGCGCACATTATTATTATTAGTGCGGTGACCAAAAATATTTCCCAAAGAGAGTGGAGACTCAGGACGTTTGTACTAGATCAACTGAGTATCGAAAGAGAAAGGGGGAGGGGGTAGGGAAGCGAAAACTCTCCCCTCCTCCCTCCCCCCCCCCCCCCCGCCAACTTCCCCAAAAAAGGAGAAAACAAAAAAGATGTCCTCACTTACGGTTGACCAAGGAGGTCAGAAGGTCAAGACACAAGCCGGTCTTAGTGTTAGTTCAGAGTTTACACGACAGATAAGCCTGGGGCGATGTCTGTGTCTACGGCCATACCAAGCCACTGGGCTTTATACCCTAACTTGGATTCATGGATGTCCGTTCGTCCACTAGAAGATATAGTAAGTAGCTATCTTCTTCTTCCTCTTCTTCTTCTTCTTCTTCTTCTTCTTCTTCTTCTTCTTCTTCTTCTTCTTCCTCTTTGTACCAGATCTGAAACAGACATCGGCATTCACAGTTCTCTTGTTCACCAGTCATTTCACGGCTTGAATGCTTTCACAAAATTCTACTTATCATTTTCTACCATTTATCTGTTCGGATTATAATATACATGTTGTTAAATTATCCTTGGTCTTCCACTGCCTTTTTTGCTTCCTTTTTTCTCTGATGAGAGTAAGATATCCGAGGCCTTTGGTGGGTAGTCCAAACTAAAATTCGTTTAGGATATTCACTTTGATCGTTTTCAGTCCACCCCAAATCGAAAAATAACTAGCTAAGCCAGACACCTCAAATTAAAACTGTCTGGAAAACAATAAAGTTCATTGTTATTCGAGACGGTAGTGGTATATTGGAGGCCAAATCTCGAAAATTGTCATCGTCATTCCAAAATCGCCAAAAACAATTACCCGGGGAGGGGGTGGAGGGGTGGGGGTGGGGAGGTCAGATAAAGAGATAAATCCTTTACAGGAGCAAAAGCATCAACGTACATCTTGCAATATAATAAATTGTTGTTCTGTTTCGTTGTTTCGTTTCTTACTTTTAATTGAAAAGAAAATGGAGTGGTCAGGTCATGGTTCTGACTTTCTCTCTTTCTTTTGTTTTTTTGTTTTTGTAAAGTGTTTTACGGCGCTCGCAACTGCATAAGGTCATATGAGCGCGCGGGACACACCTAATATTTTTAGTTGGTAGGAAATTTTGAATTTTGCCCGGGTGGCGGCCGAAGCCTACTCTTATCGATTTTAGACCACCAAGGGATCTTTAACGTGCGCAACTTGCACACGGGCCCTCCGAGATTTTTCGCCCTTGTCCGAGAAGGCTAGGTGTAGATCTTTCCTACCAGAAGATCAAGTGTGTGGCAGAAAGACAGCAGTAAGGAGGAGCCAAGGAGTAGCAGTAGAAAGGCTGCAGAAAGAGCCAGGAGCCCAGAGGAGGGGGCAAAGGTGGTGAGGGGGTGGGGGCAGAAAGTGGAAATGAAAGCAGACAACAGAACATTGCTAGAGAGCAGGAAAGGAGGAGAAAGGAGACAATTTTAGAGAAGAAAATGTTTTGGTCGCTAACCGGATTCGAACTCGGGACCTTTGAATGAGAAGCCAACACCTTAACCTTTAGGCCACGAGAGCCCCTTCTTTTGTTTAAATTGTTGAATTTGCTCAAATTTTCTATATATAACCTAAACACTCATGACGTGACGCTGGCAGAATAATTTCACTGTATTGAAAACTAGTGTTGAACCGATACTTTAATTATCAGTTCGCTGTGATGTAAGTGGGAAACCTAAGCAATTATTGCCAATCTTTCTGAAGTATCACAGTCAAGACAGTACGGCGGCCGAAAAGTCAAGAGTCACAATTTTCCGCATTTCACTACCTCAGAATTACAAAGCCCTATCTGTGCAATACTTAATTTTGAAAAACAAAAAATTGAC